AAAGAGTGGAACAAGGAAGTCTTTGGGGATTTTAGAATAGAGAAGTTGAAGGTGTCTAAAAGAATTGAGGAGATTGATAAGAAAGAGGGGAGTTCGGAGTGGTCTAATGAATTGGTGGAGGAGAGGGTTAAAGTGAAGAAGGAATTGAACGAGTTGCTTCTACAAGAGGAAAGAGCAATGGTGATGAAATCAAAATTTTCCTCGGCTAAAGATGGGGACGCTAGTACTGAACTTTTTCATAAGCTAATGAGGTGTCTAAAAGAATTGAGGAGATTGATAAGAAAGAGGGGAGTTCGGAGTGGTCTAATGAATTGGTGGAGGAGAGGGTTAAAGTGAAGAAGGAATTGAACGAGTTGCTTCTACAAGAGGAAAGAGCAATGGTGATGAAATCAAAATTTTCCTCGGCTAAAGATGGGGACGCTAGTACTGAACTTTTTCATAAGCTAATGAATGCTAGCAAAGCTCAAAACACAATTTCTAGATTAGAAATGGCATATGGGAGAATCGTTGAAGGTGAATTGGACATTGTTCATGAAATTCACTCCTTTTCCACAAATCTATACCCTTCATCAGAGGGCAGATTGGAGGCATAGAAGGCTTGGAATGGAGCCCTATTTCAGAATTGGAAGCAGAGGAGTTGGAGAAACATTTTGGGATAGAAGTGAAAATTTTTTAATGTGATGGAAATAAGTCTCCAAGCATGTTGGGAAACGCTGAAAGATGAATTGATGGTACTTTTACTTGAATGGCATGGTTAATGGAGTTACTAGTGAGACATATTGCACTTATACCTAAAAAGACCAATTCATGCAAAATTAGTGATTTTAGACCTATTAGTCTAGTCACTAGCTTTTACAAGATCATTTCTAAGGTCTTAGCTTCCAGATTAAAAAGCATTATGGAAAGCACGATTTCACAAGCACAAGGGGCATTTGTTGCTGGTAGGAAAATTTTAGATGTTGCTCTCATTGCTAATGAGGCGGAGGATTATAGGGTAGGAGGTAAGGAAGGGGGAGGTTTTCAAAATTGACTTTTTGAAGGCTTATGACCATGTAGAGTGGGATTTTTTGGATTTCATGCTAGAAAAGAAGGGAGTAAATGGAGCAGATGGATTAAAGGTTGCTCGGAGTCTGTATCTTTTTCAGTGATCATAAATGGAAGGCCGAGGGAAAAGTTTTGGGGCTCGAGAGGGTTAAGACAAGGCGATCGGTTATCTTCGTTTTTATTCACTTTGGTGGCCGATGCTTTTGGGATGTTAGTTTATAAAGCGGTTGATCAAGGAGTTTTTGGTGTTTGGAAGTTGGAGAAGAGCAAATAAAGGTATCCCATTTACAATTTGCTGATGACACCTTGGATAACGAGGAGGATAATTTTCGATCTTTGATCGCTACCATTGAGACATTTTGTTTGGCTTCTAGACTTAAAGTTAATTTGGGAAAAAGTGTAATTTTGGATATTAACATTGATGTGGAGGATGTGGTTAGTTTGGCTGCCAATGGAGGTTGTTTAGTGGGGGATTGGCCGATTAAATATCATGGTGTTTCCTTAGGTGGGAATCCGATTAGATCGTCTTTTTGGGAACTAGTAGTCTTGATGGTGGCTAAAAGGCTTGATGGACGGATGAAAGCGTTTCTATCTCGGGGAGGGAGGTTGACGTATTGTCATCTTTATTGACTTATTTTCTATCAATCTTTAAAATCCTTAAAGGAGTTGCATCGAAGATTAAAAAACTAATGAGGATTTCTTGTTTTTTGGTTTGTTGGGTTGGGGGGGTGGACAGTCATATCACCCCGTGGCATGGGCTGAAATATGTAAACCTAAGGAGAAAGGTGGTTTGGAGATTGGTATCTTGGTCATCTGCAACAAAGTTCTTTTGTCAAGATGGCTTTGGAGATTTCCAAGGGAAGGAAATTTGTTATGGTGCAGAGTGATTAGAGGCAAGTTTGGGTCGAGCTTTGGAGAATGGGAATCTGGTAGTTGTGACAGAGCAACCGTCAGGAGGCCTTGGAAGGCCATTCAAACTTTGCAGCATGAGTTTAAAGCTAACGTTAAGGTTACGTTGGGGGATGGTAGGAGGTTAAGGTTTTGGGAAGATGTGTGGTTGGGTGAGGAACCATTCTCTAATCGATTTCCGAGTTTTGGGAAGATGTGTGGTTGGATGAGGAATCTTTATAGGAATTCGTCCCTTCATAACTCGGCTATCTCTTCATTTGACACAATGTGTTGTGGAATTTTCATTTTAGGAGGGAGCGGAGAAATAATGGAGCTATTGGGTGTCTAGAGGGTGTAAGTTTGAGCGAGTTTATTTGTGGTAGGTGGGCGAGGAACCTGGAGGGGTCGGGGTAGTTTTCTTGTAAATCTTTCTTTAAATTTCTCATTGATGATCAATCATTTCCTTCCTTTAGTGTTTGTCCTTTTCTTTGGAGTGTCTCGGTTCCTACTAAAGTGCAAATTTTTATTCTTAGCAAAAAAAGGTGCAAATTTTTTATTAGCTGCTTGTGTCAAGTAAACTAAACACTCAGGATTTGTTGCAAAGGAGAAAGCCGTACCTTATTCTCGTTCAAAGACTCTACGATGTTTTGTGATAATCAAACTTCATTTGTGATCTTTTCATTATTAATGAAGTTTTTGTTCCTATCAACAACAAAAATTCAAGCAACTATCAATATTGCAAAGAATCCAGCCCGTCATGACAGGACTAGACATGTGGAGATTGATCCACATTTCATCAAAGAAAAAATAGAGGAAGGAATTGTCAAGATGGTCTGCACACCAACTTGCCTACAAACAGCAGTTATTCTCACAAAGGCTCTGTTGAACTATAAAATTATTGTTGGCCCACCTCCTACTAGCTTAAGCTTTTGGGATAGATCAGTAAACTAACATGGTATCAAAGAGGGAGGTCTTGAATTTAAACCCTCGTAATTGCACTCTTTATCCCATTTAAATTGTTATCACGTGTTGGGTCTTTAATATATTTCGGGCTTATTATTAAATATTAACGTGTTAGGCTTTCCAATTAGTTTACCTACATGATTGCCCATTGTCCAACCCACATGTGAGGGAGAGTGTTGAAGTATAAAACTATTGTTGGTCCACCTCCTAATAGCTTAAGCTTTTGGGATGGATCGGTAAACTAACAGGCTCTTCCAAGAATCAACTTCGAAAATCTTACTTCTGAGCTGGGGATGATTAACATCTATCACCCAGCTTGAGGGGGAGGGTAGTATTCCAAAGTCAATTCATTGGGCTGACCCGGCTTAGAATATCTTTACGTCCCCATTATGTAAATTGGTTAATCAATTACATTCAATTACCCAATATTCTCTTATCTGTTTTTTGTAGGCCTAGTATCGTGGGAGAGAAACTGGTTTTTGGTTTTTCTCTCCTTTATATACCTCGGTTTTCACATTTGTTTTCAATAATAATAATAATAATTCAGATTTCAGACTTTTTCTCTTCTCAAACTTAGATATATGTGAACTGTATACTTTCTGCGTACTTGGTTTATGTTCTTCGTCTTCATCTTACTCTATTAGTGTTAAGGCACTTGCGAAGTCAATCCTGTCTTTTCTTCTATTTTGTGCCTATATATCTTAATTTAAAACATATTTGTTAGTATTTGTTTTTTCCCCTAGTTATTACTGACTCGAGCACTCTACTTTAGTCAGTTGCAGAAGAAAAGATTCGTACAGAAATTCCTAGCTGCAGTTCGTAAGTATTAATTATATATGTAAATTCATGATATTCCTTGTAAATTGACATGTGCTTATTCTAACAAATATATCCTTCCCTATCTAAACCAGCCATACTTCAACTCTAATGGTGGAAGGAGTATCAGTCAAACTTGCGGACCCAAGAACTCGTGAAAACTGTTTGGAAGGATACACTTTTGTTCTGGACTCCATAAACAGTGTAAAATGTTGAATTCTTTAGTCCCTAAGAAATTTTGCTTTTTCTATGAGAACTCATCCTAGTTTAGTGGATCCCATAACACGGAAAATTTTTGTCATATTGTATGTACATTAGTGTCTAAAATTTAGAATACGTCCATTTTCTGTCGTTTTATGGATTAGATTACATTGGACTCCAGAAACTGCATAAGAAATTGTTAAAAAAGTTGGTCTTATCTTAAAACTGTTATTGAACCTTCTTTAATTACAGCATGATCGTAAAAGCTGGATCTCAATGACTGGACGAGATGAATAACTCGAACATGTATATTCTTGTTTAATGCTATGTAATCAATATGTACCTGTTTTAAACGCTTATTGATTTCTTTTTATATGTAATTACAGTGCAAATTTGGGAATCAGTTGCAGTCCCTATTGGAAATCAGTGGCGCAAAGGTTCTTTTCGCTGCAGGGTTTACTTCAACCAGCCAAGTATGCATTTCCTGTTTAATACACGTGCAATTCTTGTTGTCCATTTTTTTAAGACCTTGAGAAAATAACCTGCGGGCACTATTTTATTTGCACTTCAAGTCTAGTGTTATAAGCTTTTGTATGCTTCAGAAAATTTAAAATTTCTTTCTTCCACCTAAGAAAAGTATGTGTACTTTAAATCCTTTTTTTTTTTTTTTTTTTTTGTGTGCGTGTGAGCGTACGCCTCAGTGATGTAATGAATAAGATAATTGAAGAAAATAATTACTAATTTGGATATAGCTGTGTTTCCATGTAGATTACTAGGCAATTACTCTATACTTTAGCTCCATGCCATGCATATGTCCAAATAATTATGTATAACAGGGTTGCATTGTGCTTAATTTGATTGTTTCCACTATGCACACAATTTCAGTTTGGTGTTTTTATCATCTTTTCCCAGGCTCCCAGCTAGCTTAAAATATGTGCATTTAGACTTGTGAATTTAAATTGTTCACACAAATCCGTGCTTTGTATAAATTGTTTCCTCCCTATGATTTTTCTCATAGGCTGGAGTCTCAAAAACATTAAATGTAAAATATTTTGCTTCCACAATGTGCGCTTTTATTTTTTATTTTTTTTATTTTCCTTTTTTCTAGGAACAACAGATCCGTAGTTTTTGGTTCATTTATATATCTTCTCACGCAATCGTCTACATGTCTAGCTTCTTACTATTATTGTTTTCTCTAAAAAGACTATTCCAGCTGGGTTATCTTCTGAAACTCTTTGTAGGGCTTAGATAACGAAGCAAACAATTATGTTGTTTGTGTCATCCCTGGAGGGTCAGCCAACAAGCTTGGTTGCTTCAATAAACTCAGCTCACTATCTAGAGTAAATGAAATGGACTTAATATGTGCCGTTTTGACTGGGAAGCTTGATCGATCCATTTTCATATCACCTTGCGGCAAGTGCTTTTTGTCCTTCTGATAAATGCATTTCCTTAATTTCTTATTGGTGGAAAGCCAAATCTATTCTAACTACTATTTTTGTGCGGGAGAAATTGGTTCCCATTTGTATTGATTCTGTTGTTTTTAGCAGATTATGCATCAAATTATGTTGTTGGAAGTTATGATCAAGGTGGCTATACAACAATTTAAACAAAAAAAAAAAAAAAAAAAAAAAAAAAAAAAAAATTTTCTAACTCTAATTTCTCACTGAAGTCATGCATCTGAAAATATGTTTTAGTTGTGCCATCATATGCTCCTTAGATGAGATTTTATAATGAATTATTCATGTTTGTAAGTTCATTATTGTCATTTATTTGTTTTATGTAAGTAAAAAGTCTGATCTTTATGCATGTTCATTTGCAGTTGTTGTATCATCTTCATGCTCCACAGACGAGACAATCGTTGCAGATTCTGAAGCCGAAGATGAAACTGCAACGTCAGTCCGTGAAACTGCTGCTGCCCACTCTAGAGAGGTGGTCGAAACTGTGAATAAGGTGGAGGCAAAAGAAGATTGTGCTGCGCCCAATTATGTTGCAACCTTTAGGCCCAGTAGGGGTAGTGTTCCTCTCAAAAGGGAAGCAGATACCGAGTCTGAAAGTGGAAACTTGGATGTTGTTTGTAGCCAACATTTAATTGTCCGAGATACAAGCACACGTACTGCCGGCTCTACTGCCAACAATGAAGCTATAAATTTCAAACGCTTCAGAAAGGTAATGTGCTCAGTTTCGTCTATTTGCCTATTCGCATCGGGTATCCTGTTTTCCAACTGGAATATTTCATTTATCTGGTAAAAATTACACTGCAATTTGTCTTATTCTATTGTATTGATCTTGTTGTTTGGAGCAAAAGTGTATAAAAATAGTCCCAGCTTATACAACGATCTATAATACGACTCCTCAAGAATAAACATTCCTTTTCTCCGCAAAATGATTTGCGTGTTTCTTTTCCTAACATGTCATGCAATTATGTCGTTTTTATATTACAAAATATCCAATTAGAGCTAGAAAGGTAATGTTAACATGCGATTAACTTTGAAACCCAGTAAGTTTGTAATAATGTGTCCACACCGTTCGGTTCTAATCTATGTTTTGATTTGTCCATTGTCTAATTTATAGCTAACCTGATATAAGCGAATTATTATTCCTTTTCTTTCTCTTCTACTTCTAATCTGGAATGGAACTGCAGAGAGACGTTCAATCGGGGAATAGCTTCAACAATCTCATTCCATTCTCAAAGAACCCGTATAAGTAAGATCTGTTTTCTACTAACCCAACTCATTTCTCTAAGGGGTTTGCAAAGTAATGAGGTGCTCATACGGTTTCTCTTGCTATATTTTCGGTGATCAGAGGATCGGATGATGGGAATGAAGAAATGATCGAGTCCGCGAAAGAAGAAAAAAGGAGAAAGCAAATGGAGGCGATGGCTGAAGACTTATTTAACAATGTAAAGGTGAGTGATGCTGCTTTCTCTTGAGACTCAAATTTGGAAGAATATGCCTCATATGATCTTGCTCAAGTTCTACACCTTTTTTATTTTTATTTTTTTTAGAGTTATTCACGATTATATTCCTTGTAATATATAAAAATAATAAATAACTCTTCCGCTTATAACATAGAAAAAAGCATGTAAACTCGTATGTGTTCCAAATTTTCAGGGGAGACGGCGTGGAGTGGCCGGTTCTATTCATGGACTTCTCACTAATGCCTACTAAAGGCGACAACTTGCTTCTGGGGAGGAAAATGGTCTTGAAGGACTGTATTGATATATTTGTGAATCTGTTGAGTAAATACTGGTTGTCTTGAAGGACTATATTGATATATTTGTGAATCTGTTGAGTAAATACTGGTTGTCTTGAAGGACTATTGATATATATGTGAATCTGTCGAGTAGATACTGGTTGTCTTGATGGACTATATTGATATATTGGGGAATCTGTTGGGTAAACATTGATAATGCATGTCGCTTGGCTAGAGCGCATGTTGAGGAATCAGGTGTCTGAACTTATAATTAAAAAAGGTTACAAAATCAAATTTAGAAGAAATAAAAAACTAAATTTTGTATAACTTCTATCAACAAGTAGTCGAAGGCAGGCGCCTATTTTACGTGTGATATTATTTTGGATATAAAAGATCTAAACTTTCTTGTAAAATTTATTTATTTTTATTTTCTTATTATTGCTTCATAAAAAATAAAAAATTTAAGTAGATCGTATAAAAGGAAAACAAAGTTTTTAGCGGAGTAAATTTTTTATTTTCTTAGAAAAAAAATATATATATATATATTTATGAGGGCGCAAGAAAAAAAAATATTAAATTTATATGTGAGAGATACTATTTAAACAAAGTTAAATTATAATAATTTTATTTATAAAATAAATAGAAATTGAGAGTAGCACTAAGAGGGAAAAAAATGAATTCGTCTATTGATACTTTATATTTCACTTTTGACACAAATATACTTAAATCACTTATCATTTTACTTGTTATACCGTTTTTATAATTGTAAGAAGTCTACAACTAAATAACCTCATATTTTATTTTTTATACACATCTTTAAACCATCCCATATTTTACTTATTATAACCCTTTTAAAAAGATTCCCACAACTAAATTGTATTATTTTTTATCATTACTCGATCATTTCACCAATTCGAGTTTTCAGTTTTAGGTTTCTACAGTAAAAAGCTCTCAGAAAATGTCATATCTAACTTTTTCTGTTACAGTGAAAAGCTCTCAGAAAATATCACATCTCAACTCGAATCTGCGAAGTAAACGATGCCTAAAATTCAAAATCTTTATTTTTTAACTCTCTTTTTCTTCTTTTTCTTTTTTTTAAAAGAAAGATGTATTGCTTCTCATGAAAACAAAACCATATATACTTGCTTATCAAAAGAAGAAAACGTGTACGTAATTGTTCTTACAAATATCAATTTGTAGAGTGTTTTTTTTTTTTTTTTTTTTTTTTTTTTTTTTTTTTTTTTTTTGAAAACGGGTGTACGTGATGAGACCTTCTGCAGTTGTGTTAAGAGTTTTTTTTCTTTTTTTACGATAATTGCTTACGTTATTCCAAGTAAATCATAAGATATTGAAAAAAAAAAAAGAAACGTCTTCTCCAGAAGGAAAATTAAAAAATTAAAAAAAAAAAGATGAAGAAGAAGCAGCGAGCGATTAAAAAAAATACACTAACTTTTGAAATAAGTAGGCCACAATATTTTTTAGAAGGTAATAATTTTTGTTAGGATTAATTAGGAGTGTTCAAAAAAACTAAAAAATTGAAACCGGCCGACACCAAATCGCCAAACCGACTGAAAAAACCGAAAATTCAGTTGCACGTCAGCAAACCGACTAATTCAGTAGATTAACTAACCGCCCATGGTTCATGAGCAGTTCGATTTCGGTTTTGCCAACTGAAGTGATCGGTTAAACCGAACTGACCGACGAATTTTAAAAAAAAAAAGAGTTATTATCCATATAGTCAAACCTTTAATCTTATAGGTGGTGAATATAAGTTCATCATATTATTGAAGATTGAGGTTTAAGAGAAGTTAGATCTCTCTAACTTGTAAGTTGTGATGGAGAAATTAAATACATAGCCCTTTATATAGAATAGTTGAGGGAAGACATTCTCATCTCTTTTCAATGTGGGACTATTAAAAGTCTGATGTGTTTAAAAATTTAATAAGTTTTCTCATCTTCAATAATATGATAGACTTCAATATAAATAAGTTTTCTAATTGAGATTAGATGTAAAGCCTTAGTCTTTAAGGATACATTCTTTTAGGCTTTATTTGTTTGTCTTTTAAGCCATTTTTTCTTTTTAATTTTAACTATTTAAATATTAAATATTTGAATGGTTAAAATTTAAGAAGAAAATAGCTCACAAAAATTTTTTTAAGTAAGAAACCGACCGATAAAAATCGGTTGGTTAACCGACCGAAGACATTGTTCTTCAGTTCAGTTTTGGTTTTAAATTTTCAAAAACCGACATTGTTCTTCGGTTCGGTTTTGATTTTAAATTTTCAAAAACTGTCATTGTCGGTTCGGTTTTGAAACCGACCGAAATTGTCGGTTAAAAACCGATGAACACCCCTAGGATTAATTACAAAAACTCTCCTTGAACCATACTCTTTGTAATATTTTGCTCTCAATTTTTAAAATGTAAGATGCGTTCCCCCTAAAAGCAATGAAATGTTCACAAAAAAACCCCCCGTTAGATTTTTTAAGGGAAATTAACATGTAATTTGTTATTTTGAGGTATTTAGTAGCTCTATAGTTTAAAATTTTAATTTTAATTTAAAATTAATTTAAATTTGAACTTTTAATTATGATACATCAATTATTGATTGAATGTAAGTTAAACATTTTATAAATTTTTTGGTAGAATAAAAAAATTTATGAATTTTTTAATAATTAAATTAGTTTAGATTCAAATTAAATTTTAAACCATCAATTATCAAAACACTCTCAAAATAACAAATTAAATGTCAATTTCAGTTAAAAATCTAACGGAGGGTTGTTTTGTTAACATTTCATTAATCAAGGAGAACAGATGTTACGTTTTAAAGATTATGTGGCAAAGTGTTACAAGGGGTATAATTTAAAGGGAATTGTTGTAGTTAATCTTTTTTCTTAAGGTGTGGTGTGTAATTTTCCATAAGAGTAATTTTATTAATGAATAATTTAATAATAAAATATATTATTAAAAAGGGGTTCTTGAAAAGTGTAGGTTTTTAAAATGATTTCGGATGTGAAAACGTGATAATCAAATAAAAATTTTCTCAAAACATTCGATGCACGCTATAAATTATATTAATTTATACGTGGAAAAATTAATCTAATTAATTTAGAAATATACCTTGCAACTGATTAGGACGATAACTTGAGTCTTTAACCATGAACAATCCAAGTGCTCTAGTTCTCATATCACCAAAAATCTTCCTCGCCTACTCCTCGGTTCTACAAAGACTGCGTGTGGGCAGAACTTGAAATCAAATCGGGATTAGTACTCAACTCAGTAGTCTTCTATTGCCATTAACACATGTACGTAGAACTCTTCTCCCTTTTCTCTCTCTAAATAGTCGACCACTATGAGAGAGAATAGAGCAAAAATTGTGTTATCTAATTTTCTATTACACTTATTTATAGAGAAGCTCTTAGAGTCCCAGTAGAGCTCTACTTTTTCTCTAAGATAAGGTTTAAGAAAATTGGCAATTAATATTTATTTGAAATCTCAATTAAAGTCAAGATAAATTCTCATTTTTGGAACAATTTTCTCCCTCATGTGCAGCATGGAATTCAGCCACCACATGGATAATCTCCCTGTGGTTGGCACCACCTTACCCAGTAAGCAGAGAAAAAATTTCTCATTTATCTTGTTGTCAAATTTTAAATTAAATTCAAATTTTAAAGTCAAACTTTAAATATATTTGAATTCTAATCAAATAACTTGCCTAACAAGTAAACTAGATAACTCTGAGAGCAAGCAACTGAATCTTTCCATGTAGGGCATGTACACCATGTAGTCCCACCACATATGTGTTCTAAAATTACCTATCATATAATCACCATATTTAATATCTAATTAATTATTTTTGAGTTATTTAATGTAGAATTTCATAATTACTAATTTCACATATTTATCCTTAACGTCTTGTAGAATTACAAGAATGACTGGACTTATAATATCAAGGTCCAATTAATAATATACTATTATAATGTCATGACCCACATCGAATACGTATGTATAAGGAAGTTCAACGGGCGTTGGACCCGTCTTAGCTGACGCGCGGCATGCAACACTTTTCCTACTTATTAACTTGGCAGAAAAATGCGGAAAAATTAAAACTTAAAACTACGAATTACATTTGGACGTCCATGCACATCATTAATACAAACCAAAGTATTAGATAATAAGATAAAATGCGGAATATAAAAATAACACATAACATAATATATGAGAACAATTAAAACCAAAGTCTATCGTTCACAGGTCGGGGTGTTGGTTTCTCAAACCGGATTTTCAAAAAAAATTGTGCGGAAGCGTGGTATCGATCGAATCACATAAATTAAAATTTAATGCGATCATTATTTCATGTTAATTTAACTACAAAGATATTAAAGAAAGGAATGAGGATTTGATCGTCGTTCGATTAGGACGAAAATCTTGAATTCCTCCAACATTGTCTTGAGCTCTTAAATTTCAAGAACACCATTGTTCTTTCTCAATGTATCTCCGAATTAACGTGAACTCGAACGTGTGGGCGTTCTAATGGGTTTCTCAACACATAAGATGGAGGAATAGGGAAGCCACCTATAGTTATCACTCACTTTTCTCAAAAGTATGTGATGACACTCAAAAAATTTTCTTTTGTTTTCTTTTGTTCTCCTGTTCTTTCCTTTTTCTTTCTTTCTGTGTTCTCTCAAAAAAAACTTTTTCGTTTCTCACTTATGAACAGCATTCATTCCCATTTTTGAGTAAATGTGCAACCGCACATTTACTCCATTTCCTCATGTGAGGAAACGTGCAACAGCACGTTTCCTCCCACTCACTTTTTTCTTTTTTTCTTTTTTTAGGAAACATGCACATGCGTTTCCTTTCTTTTATAT